ATAATTTAAGTCTGTAGAAAATATTTTTTTTATATTAAATCAATGTAATTTTATATTTTTGGAACTTATTGAAAAATATCTGTTTTTGTATTTTTTTGCAATTTATCGAAAATTATTGATAAATACCTGTTTGTTTTTGTATCCTTCAAATATTTACATAACATTTGCGTTTTTTATTATATTTTTTTCTTTCTTAGAATCATTAATATTTTTCTATTTTTTTTTTATTTGAAATAATATTTGTATAACATGTTTTTTTTTATACTTACGGCATGGTAAATTTATGAACGCCATGATAGTAGTTTTGGTGGTTTTATAAGGAGGTAGWTGAGTTTTTTTACTTGACGAAGCGGTGCGTCGTTTTAAGTGTTCACGCGATTTTAGCAACTCATATCAACAAGAAAGAGTTAGAATATGGTTTTCAAAAAATCTGAAAGAGAAGATAAAGACAGTTCACYAAATTTGTATGAAATTTGTACTATTTCGATACACTAAATATAATTTTAAAAGTTTTATCAATATTTCTAACATGAAAAAGTCACAAAAAGGTTGATGGTTATTTTTTTATAAAAGTTAGTAAAATTTTCACAATTATATACCTTGAAGTTGGTTATTGGTAAAGTTTGAGAAATACAAAGAAGATCCAATTTAGAAATTCAGTCACGAAAAACATTTTTCATAACATTGAACTGTTAATGAACTCTGATTTATCAAGATACATAGCAGTAGTATAATATATGTCGTATATAAATTATTTTTAATTGGACAACTATAGCATATAGCTGCCATACAAACTGAACGGTCGGATTTAAGTTGTTGTATAGAAAACTTGCTTATTTGATAAGATATCTTCACGAAATTCGGTATGAATAATTTTCCAAGTCAAAACTATGATATGCGCTTAGCTGTCATACAAAATGAACCATTAAAATTAAGATAAAGGTCTCTTTATGCTCCTTTGATCAATAAAAAATGCACCCGTGAAGGGCACCCGTGTGGCACTTCGGTGCTTTAATTAAAATTTTTTTTTTTTTAATTTTTAATACACGTTGCATTATCAAAATGTGACTAATTCAATGATTTTAGCGTAATTCATACTTCAGATATRACTAAGTATGCATTACTGTATATAAATCAGGTTCTAAAAAGCCAAAAAAATATTTGCGTTTTCAAGTCTTCCAAAATGTGCAAATAAATACAAATGTTGCTGGGTATTTAACGGCGCTTCAAAAAAAAAATAATGTGTAGCAATGCATTTGACCCCCAGAATGTTAACGGACTCATAAACCAAAACCGTCAGCAAACATTTTATCGCATTTTGATTACGATTGTTCTGTTTCCTCCATGTTATGAGCTACATATCACAGCAATAAATTGTTGCAAGCATAGTAAAAATGTGATAATTAAGTCATAAACATGTACAACTGATAACCATAAGGAGCGTGTGATTATAAATAATTTAACTGGTTATTRGGTAATTAGAAAATAATCAATGCGCAATAACAACAAAGCATATTTGCACTATAAATCAACGATATTCAACGTCTGCAAACATATTTATATACATACATAAATAGGTGCTAAGCAAGTGCTCATAAAATAATTGATTTATGAAAGAAACTTTTCATTCTTTTGTGACTTTGTTTTATTGCTCAATTGACGGTTATCACTGGAAAAAGTGCATATCAGAGCGACCCGTGCACAAATATTTACACCGCACAAATATATACCCATCCATATATATGTGCGTGCGTGTGTGCTGGGTACATACAATAAAAGTTTGCTTTAACTGTTATCAACGGCAGCCCCTACAGAAGCGCCCGATTATAAGCGCACACGCACACAGCCATGCACGTACACATACTCGACTTGAATTAACAGTCGAAAAGTTTAAAGTTATTTGTCTGAGTGTCGGATTTGCAGGCATTACAAGATGTCTACCGACACCGTCGTGTTTCATCATTAGCTTGTGGAATTTTTTCTCGCTCGCTTTTATTTGCATGCGCCTGCTCGTGAGGAGGAGGTAGATATGAGTGCACGCAAAATGTAAATGCGCGTGYAATTTAAGTAATGACTTAGTATGCTGTAATTGGAAAGTTCGATTTGCAGTGTGCCACTTTTTAATTTCAGCTGGTCCACGTGGCTTGGTAGAGTCCGGATGCAGCTGACTTACATAAACAAACTTACTTATGCTCATTATTTATACGTCATTAAGCGTGCAGCACAGAGGAGGTTGTATATTTGAAATTTTTTCCCGAGTATTTTTTTTTTTTTTTTTTTTTGATATTTTCAGTTCATATGACGTTCTTGAGGTATTTTTCGGGTATTTCTTATTTCATATGACGTTCTTTGTGGCTTTATAAACAACCGCCGCAAAGCACTTATTCTTTTGCTTTGTTTAAATGATAATCGTCCAACAGTTTATTATTYTACAAATAATATAAATATGTTATGAAAATATTTTGTGCTTCTCTAACGAAAASAATAACTTTAAACTTCTTTGGTTACCGATTTAGGATCATAATAAAATTTTTTAGATATGATAATTTTTCATATGACGTGGCATTATAAACAACCGTCGCAAAGCACTTATTCTTTTGCTTTGTATAAATGATAAAGTTATTTACGTATTTTCAAATTGTAATTTATATTAATTGAATGTGTGATAGATTTATTAAACTACATTAAAGCTCTATAGTCTGTTATGCTTATCGAACTCTAGAATTTTCAAGCAATGCTCGTCATTTCTGTGAAAGTAAGTGCCTTGACGTTTTTGATTAAAGTAATGTAATCATAAAATAGTAAAATAATAATCCATTTATAATGGACTAGCAGCTGAAGTGTGTTGAATACTATTTACATATGTACGTGTGTATACATAACCGCGTCAGTGTTGTCTATGCCAATAAAAAAAAAGATACATATGTACATATGTATAGCACATATACATTTCTAACTGTAATCTTCAACTTTAATGTTGAATACGCTAGTATTAAGCGTATTAAGTGATGTCTGATGACATATTATTAGGAATTAAAAGAGTTAAGTAAAAATCCTGAAATTTGTGAAATACGGTTGCGTTTACTCGTTGAAAGTGAAAGTCAATGCTAATTACTTTCTGAACATTGTTTAGTAAGCATATGTAATATGTTATTGAAAGGACTAGAAAGTTACGTCTCTGTTGTTGTATTGAAGAAGAAAAAACGTTAACTCCAGTTGAACCTTTAGGAATTACCAGGAATTGAAAGGGATTGATCAGTTTATAAGGCAGCTATATGATATAGTGATTCGATAGCGGCGAATTTTGTAAAGGAGCAATTTCTTGGCGAGAAAAGCATGTGTGCAAAATCGATATTTCAGAAATTGAGGGACTAGTAGAAGTATATAGAAACAGACAGTCGTTTTGCCAAACTCGATTAAATATTGTAATAAAAACCATAGTTAAAAAAGAAATTATAAATAAAAGTATTTTCTATAAAATCTAAAAACACTAAATTGTTATAATGTTTAGATCATTGAGGATCTCAATAGCTAAAAATTCTTAAAACATATCGATGTTAAATATAAAATATAATATAATCTTAAATCAAAATAATTTTTAGGCTATTGAACGTCACAATAAATAAATTTATATATATTTATGAATTCTGCAAAATATTTTGTACTTAAAAATATTAAATTTGAGCGAAATGTGGAAAATTTTGGACTATATTAATTTTCAATGTCACTGAATAGCCCATAGCATAACTTGAAAATGGAAAGAAGCATACATTCAGGCGCACTTGACACGAGGTTCATAACGAACACATAACTAAAAAAGGAAATGTTTAAGTTATTATTTTTTTAGTTAAAAATAAATATAATAAATACATACATATATATTTATAGATATTATATATATGTTTGTATACAGATAAAATTATGTCAATACTAAGCAAAAGTCAAGTAATTATTATAATTTTTAATTTATTTATTCACTAAGTTTTTACCATGCTGTTATCGTCTGTTTTTCCCCTACGCCAATTGCTTTGTCATCAATTGGTGAAAGCAGAGACAATACTTATAGAATATATATATATTTATGTGCGTATATATTATACATATAGTAAATTGACATTTTGCCCTTCGCACATTTTCCGACTTTAATTAAGGCTGTACTTAATTCGTAATTTAAACTTGTTTTGCAGCAAAATTTGGCACAAACAAGTGTGTGAGTTTTGAAACTTGTATGATCACTTCATTGTTTACAAATTATTTATAAATAATACATTTTTATTTTTATTTTTTTTTTTATTTTACTGCAACATTTTAGAAAAAAAAAAGGAATATTTATCAGATTGCGCAAACTGGAAATACTGTACATTAAAAAATAGCTAACTAAGTTGCTTCAAGATTGTGTGTTCAGAAAGCTCGATAAAGCCGCTTTATATTTATATAAACCGTCTCAGATTTTTTCTCTATTCACGAAATACTAATAGTTTGTGTTTATATAACACAATTTTGGCTATGAAGTTTGTCAAGTTATAATAAATTTTTTTATAACTACTTTGCTTTGAGTAAAAGTTAGAGAAGAAAAAGTAAGGAATGAGACATCAATTTGTCTTATGCGGCTAAAAGCGCTCAAATTATCTCACCGGACTTATCTTATTATAGTTGCTAAATACCTAATTTAGAGCATTTCCCTGTACTTATCAAGTAAACATTTTCCGTATAACGTATTTCCAAAACTTTTCTTAAACTACTTTAGTCACAAAGGCATGTGAGTTTTTTTTTTGCTGTTCCTATGATAGTCGGTTCGACAACCGGAATGAATCTAACATTCCTCCATCCAAATACCGCCAACAGTTTAATATTCTACAAATAATATAAATATTTTATGAAAATATTTTGTGTTTCTCTAACGAAAACAATAACTTCAAAATTTTTTGGTTACCGATTTTGGATCATAATAAAAATTATTGGTATAGCTAAATGTCAAAACTATCAAAAACTGCTTTTCCAACTTTTTTTTTGTATTACCTCATTGCTTAACAATTATTAAAATTGTTTATGAAAGTATTGAAATATTTATATAATAATAACATTAAATTTTTTTTTTAAATATTAATTGGTTTTAAAAGTAAATATGTTTTCAGACTGCGTCGAGTTCAAGCAACCCCAGTAATTTAATTTTTAACAACAAATTGTAAAAAAAAAAATATTTTTACAGTACGATATTTATTTGCGTCAAGTCGCGATCTTGTTAATTAATGAACTTAGCCGAAATACGAGAATACTGTCGAGTTAATTAGCGGCACACATGCTTGAAAATTTGGTGCTTTTGTAAAAACAAAATTAACACTAGAATTTTTATATTTACCTTTCATTATTAGCGGGCTTTTATAGAAACTTTTCGGAAGAAAAAATAAAGCTCTACTTTATYTGTAGCAA